TACATTATAGCTCAATGTGAGAAGGGTTATCTGTTAGTAAAAACCTTCGAGTTCCATTCATTCAACTCAAGGGCAGCCAAATTTATAGCATAACTTAAGTCGAGAAAAACTATCTGTCAACAGAAACCATCGTGTTCGATTCCATTCAGCTCAATGACATATCAACTGCATGGTAGCAGCAAGGAACTACTTTCCGATTGAAGTTTAAACTGAGGTCTTTAAGTCAAGAAGAAGACCGGGTTGGCTACGATTTAGCATCATGGAGCTATCTCCCAACCAAATTTACAGCATAGCTCAAGGTGAGAAGGGTTATCTATAAAAAAAACCTTCGAGTTCGATTCCATTACACTCAAAGGCATATCAAATTAACAGCATAGCTCAAGTCGATAAGGGTTATCTGTTAACAAAATCCTTCGAGTTCGATTCCATTCATCTCAAAGGCGTATCAAATTAACAGCATACCTCAAGGCGGGAAGGGTTATCTATCAATGAAAACTTTGAGTTCGATTCCATTCAGCTCGAGTGCATATCAACCGCATGGTAGCATCGAGGAACTACCTTCCGGTTGAATTTTATACCGAGGTCTTTACATCCAGAAGAAGACCTAGGTTGGCTGTGATTTATCAACAAGGAACTATATCACAATCAAATTTACAGCATAGCTCAAGGCGAGAAGGGCTATCTGTCAACGAAAATTTTCAAGTTCGATTACATTCAGCTCGAGAACAAATCAAACATGTGGTAGCATCGAGGAACTACTTTCTAGAAGAAATTTCAAGCCGAAGTCTTTAAACCGAGAAGAAGACCAAGGCCCAATTCCAGGCTCAACTCGAATCCTAATTACAGTTGCTCCCAACACAAACATATTAAGTTTCCAAAACCAAGAAAGAAAAATCGAACAAAAACTGAATGTCTTTTTTTAATCTTTGCCCTATTATTGTTAACACAAGAACATGCAAAGAGAGGAAACTGTAGACACCCGTTTTTGTCAGGGTCGAAAAAAATATTATAATAATAATAATAATAATTATTATTATTATTAATTATTATTACCTACCCTACCCACTATCTACCACTACCCACCAACCACCTAATCCACCACTAACCACTAACCACCTAATCCACCACTACCCACCTAATTATCTAACCCACCATCATCATCTCACCATGAAAAAGGGAAGAGTTTGGGTTCTAGGGGGAGGGAACAAGAAAAAAACAATGCAAAAAAGAAAGCATTCGAACGAAAGAAATCAGGGGCTCTCGAAAGATATTTTCACCGACTATAAGTTCGATCGACGATTCGAACGGTGAAAAGTTGCGCAAGTCCAACACAAACAACATACTAAAAAATAAGGACGATCGGAAGGTGGACGACGACAGATTAGAGCAAGAAAGCCCAAATTAATTTCAACTCTTTTATGGTAATCCGCTCATTTTCTGGAGAAACTACCACCGGATTTGGACTCAGGGGACCGAAACGAGTTACCCTATAAAATTTGATAACGAATGGACACTATAGGTGATGAAAATTGATCGATGAAGATCACCGACGACTTATGGTCAGCTGTGTAAAGAAAAAAAGGGGACCAATTTACTTTCTGAAACCACGCGTAAATGAATGGAAATGTCAAAGATTTGGTTTTATTGATTTTTTTTTTTATAAATTTACTTCATAACCCTTCAAATATTGTGGTTAAATTATTCTTCTGGTCTCCTATCTTTGATGCACCACAAAGCATAATCCATTTATTTGTAATTTAATTTTGACGTTTAACTTTTATTATTGTCAATCTAACCCCTAATTTATTTTTATTTATGATTTGATTTAATATTATTATTTAACTTTTATTCTATTTTCACTAACATTTTTTTTCTTTTTGCACGCTTTTTTTGTTTTTTTAATTTAAAATTTAATTTTTTATTTTAAATTTTAAATTTTTATTTTATTTTTCCCTTTGATTTATTATTATTTTTTATCTAAAATTTTTAATTTTTTAGAGGAATTCCAACCAATCGAATGTAAGTAATTTGAATCGGATTTTTAAATTTTTCGTAATTAAAACAACTGACAAATTAATTGGTACGGAAATGGCAGTATAAGGGTGTTAATCATTCATTGACTGTAACCGACTCTCGAACCCGATACATTTCTGGTCAAACGCATATTAGGTAAGATGGTGTCCGATCAACCTAAATATATTTTTTTTTAAATGATCGGTGGCGACTTTAACCCATTTTTTCCATGTTGAAACTTAATTATGGGCCCACCCGAAAGATGACCGCGATAGTTAGCTTAACAAATTTAAATAATGAGATAATTTGATCGGTCACTAACATAAAGTTAATTAGATTATCGTCTGTATGTTCTCAGAGATGATAAAAGTACCTTTTAAATATTCATCACATGTATTTATTGAATCTTGTTAATGTATTATTATGTCAATCGATCTAGAATATGATTAAAAATATTATAATAAATTTTTTGTTGAACCTTTGAAAAAATATAAAAATTTGATATAAGCAGGGATGAATCTATTAAGTATATGGGAGGGGTTGTGGCCCCAAACTCGATTTTTTTATTTAATTTATATATATATAATTTAAATATTTATGGCATGAACCTAGTGATCTTAGTGAAAAAAGAATTGTTGTTATTTCTTGAGTTATCAGGTTCGAGCACTAGGAATGTCAGGAGTGCGAGCGCTCAATATCAAATGGTTTAGAATTATCTTTGAACATACATTGGCTTGTACTTACCCTATATTATTAAAAAATATAAATATTTATGGGATAATTATGAAATTGTCCCTCACTTTTAGAAAAGTTATACCTTTCTCCTCTCGAACCGTCCACAGACATAAATATGATTTAGAGTGATTCAACTTTCTTAAAGTCTACATTCATTACCTTAAGGTCCTTAACTATTCACATTATTTTTTTTATAAATTTTATTAATTTGATCAACCTTTGATGACAAACAAGAATTGAGTGGTCTCCGTGATAAATGAATGATTATTGTTTTTTGAGACCCGGGTTCGAGCACCCTAAACGTCTGGGGTGTGAGCCTTCAATGTTAAAGGGTTTAGAATTATCTTAGAACTGATACTGCATTGTATTATCATAGATTAATAAAAAAATCAACCTTTGATGACAATATGTAACCTTACGAACAAGATTTATGCCCAAAATTTGAAGTATACAATTTTTTTTTCAGCTACTCCATCGAGATTTCATGGCAGTTCAGACCAGTTTGGATGGATTTCGTCGCTGGAGAGAGCAGTGGCAATGTATTCAGGACTAGAGTAACAATGGCGTCCACGGTTGCATTGAGTTGTTAAAATTGATATAGATGGTGCCTATGATCCGATTTTAAAAACTGCTGTTGTTGGAGTGTTGCGCGAGACCAGCGAGGCCAAGTTCTCGGTGGACTGGCACATTCTTCATTATTGTGTCAAAATACTGAATTAATTGAAATACATGCGATTACAGCTGGGATTAGGTTTGCTTGCTTGTGATCGTGGCTAGCAGATGGTGTGCCTTGCATCCGACTCCGCTCTATCGGTCAATAAGTTGAATAGAAGCGATGGAGATCTCTTGACCCTTGGTTATCATCCCCAAAAGGCTGGTGAAATATTGGCAGCAAATGGAGGGTTTAGTCATCTTTGTTCTCAGAGAAGCCAATATGGCAGCACATTTGTTCGCTACTTGGGCCCTTCGAAATAATTATGCTATCTTTTTTTTTTATTCTGACTTGTCCTGATTTAATCCGGACAATAGTTGCAACTGATGTACCCTCTTGATTTTCTGATATGAAATTTTCAAAATTGAAATGAATTATCCCATTTAAAAGAAAGTTAAATACACCCAAAATTTTAGAATATCAAAACAACAACCAGTATTCAACGAAAGAAAGATAAAAATTGATGTTTTAAACTCTAGAACCCTTGCAATAATTTTCTTGTTGTTTTTCGATTGTTATAAAAGCTCTTTTATACTCGTGATTTTTTTGTTGAAACCTTTAATTCTCGCATTTAATGTTTACTTGCATATGGGGTTTCAAAACATTTGAAAGGGTTTCTAAACCATCAAAGGCCAAGATAAAACTTTTGATCGTTATAACATAAAAGTTCCGAAACTAGAGTTTTTTTTTTTTGAATAATTTTAGAGTAAATTATGTATTTAGTATTTAAATTATCAGTTTTGTTTTGTTTGAGTACTTAAAATTTTAAGTTTTTTTTTCAAAATCATACCTAACATTTGTTTTTATTTCATTTTAGTACCTTCTTTAAAAATTTAATACGTTTAGTACTTAAACTATCAGTTTTGGTCCGTTTTAATACATAAACTTTCAATCTTTCCAAAACATAACGTTAAATTTTGAACGGGATACTAAAATAAAACAAAAACTAAAGTTTTTAACGTCGGGATACTAAAATGAAACAAAAACTAAATTTAGATATAATTTTAAAAAATTGAAAGATTAAGTACTAAAATGGACAAAAACCGATAACTTGAGTATTAAAAGCATAATTTACCCATAACTACCATCGGTTGTAGCTATTGTAATCCAATAAGCTCTTGTAACTTGGGAATAATTTTAGTTCTGCTTGATAAAAAAGGATCGCACTAATAACATAAAAATCAACGTGAACTAAATGATCTATTTGATTTGTTTTACAAATTTGAGTATTAAAATAAATGAAAAAAAGTTATATAATTTATACTTTTGAGGGCATTTTGAATTGGCTAAGCCTATTTTCAAATAACACTCGCCCACCTTTACATAACTACCATCGGTGGTATCAGTATATTTTTTGTGTGAAAATTGCATTTACGAATAAATCAAGTTAGTTGCTAAAAATCTCGCCCACCTTTACTCATCTTTCATGAAATTTCAGCACTCCAATGACATTGTTTAGAAATTTGATTGGATCTTTTGTTTTTGTTCTTTTGGCTGTTTCCTTCGGCTTCCCAATTCTTTTTCTTTCTACGTATCATTGTGCCGATTGCGTATGGGATGGATATTGACCATTCTTTCAATTTTGTTTGTTTGGTTAGCTTCTCTTTGGAAGATTTTCTTCTCCCATTCAACCACTTTTAAATGAAGGTTGCTCCACTTTTTCCTTTCTTTTTTTTATAGATTTTTCTTCCATTAATTTTTGTTTTTTTGTTTACACATTGAAACCAGGTTCACCTCTACACAAGAAGAATGTATTACTGGTTGTTGCCCACCCTGATGATGAGTCCATGTGAGTTTCTGAGAACATCTCTTTCATTTCCCATTTGTAGATTGGAAGGACCTCTTGCTTGGTCGTTTCATTTACTCAACTTTATGCACTTTGTTTTCTGAAATTTGGAAGCTATTAAAACTAAATCTAATGGATCGGAAAATGATCGAGTGACTAAATGCGTTTTCTCAGTCACTGTGTAATTAGTGTGTATAGTATAATTGTGCATTTGATTTAGTGTTTCAAATGTTTTTTTTTCATAAATATTAGTAGTTGCATTTGTATCCAAACACACTTTTTCTTTTTTCTTTTTTAATGTTGTTATAGTTTCATGTATCAATTATAAATTCTTTGTTCTATCGACCAGATTGGATTTTTGAGTGAATTTGTCGATATCCTCAGAAAATGATAGACGGACTGAATGCTTTATATCAATTACTGTACAATTAATACGCAGTAAACCGATGCATTTTATTTATTTTGTGTTTTCAAATTTTCATGATAGTAGTAGTTGACTAGTTGCTTTTTGTATCCAAACGCACATTTTGCTTTAGCTTGTTATAGTTTCATGTTTCAATTTGAAATTCTTTATTCTACGGACACTAATGGATTGTTGAGTGAGTTCGTGGATAATATCAGCAGTCAGTACAATTTCATATGCAAATGGTTGATTTGATTTAATATGTTTCCCCTTAAATTGTATGTGATGCCAGTGCAGCTTCACTCCTGCAGATCAGTTTTTGTTATGGAAGTTATTTAAATCAACTTGTTATGATGCTGAGGGTATATTTGTATTCTGTTGCAGGTTCTTTTCACCAACAATAAACTACCTGACTTCAAGATGGCACAGTGTTTACCTATTATGCATGTCTATTGGTATTGCATTATCATCCTTATGTGGCCTGATCATTTTTTACTTTTTAATATTTCTTGTATCTAGGAATTTTTTCTTCTGAATCTTTCTCATTTCGAGTAATGTGAGCTTTCATCGCTATGTAAGTAAATGTCTAATGTAAGTCAATAACTGAGAGTTTGAGTTTTCCGTAGTATCTGCACTTAGTTGCAAAATAATTATGACGTCAACTGAAATAAAAAATGTCTCTTATTTTCAAATTGCGCTAAAGATGTAGTTTTGATTACTAGATGCGAGACATTAAGGATAAAGGATGGTATGGTATCTCTGGAGATTGTGCTAAAGAACTTCTAATGGTAGTTGTAAAACTGTAAGCCAACGACTGGGAAAGGTTGAGGTGTAACCAATCTATTTCACAAAATGTTTTGTTCATTGCATTTTCAGAGGGTTATTAGGCAATAATAATGTAATCTAGTCAACTCAATGCCTCGGGATATGCATTAACAATACACTATTCTATTTCTGGGGGAGATTCTATTTTCATCTCTCTTCTTTTAGTTATGGTGGTTTGAATCCGTTTTTCCATGCCAAGTGGTAGTTTTGTGTATTACCATTAGACTATTTGTCCAGCCACACCATCTATGTCTCTTCAAAAGGGAAAGAATGTGGTAGGAGTCAGAAACAAAAAACATTGGCATGTGTTTTATGAAGATAGTGTTCCTTTTCCGCCACCCATGGGATTATGTGACTTGATTACTTCTCTCTGTGCAGGCAATGCAGATGGCATGGGAGACAATAGAAAAGATGAGCTTTATCGTGCTTGTGTAATGAACAAGGTGATCTTATTATCCTAAAAAGCATACTTGGGGTCTAAGTGCTCAAGTAATCCATGTATTCTAATGCCTACAAGAACCTGATTCTGGGTTTCTCTAGCTTTGAAATATCCTTCCATGTTATAGCTTAAAATCCGGAAGCAAATCCTGCTGCTTTTGTTCATATGGTTAAGGAAATTGCCAAGCGAGTGCTGGATTATAATGCGATCATTAGGCATGTTCAGAGATGTATTAATTGGGAAGCAGATGGTTTAGCTAAGTCGGGCATAGGGTAAAGTAGGGGGTTTCCAGTTGGTTGTGTAGGTTGAGTGTTTTCGAGGGTAGAGGTTTTGTTTTGTGGGGAATGTTGTATTTAAGGTTGTTTTTTACCCAGGATGTACTTTCTATTTTAGTAATAAAATTTGGGCACTCTTTTCCTCCTTCCAATGTCCGTTAAGATACTTATGTAACTTGATGGTTAAGAAGAGGGTTTTTAATGAGGCCCTTTTCCTATCCAAAAAAAAAAAAATCCTTGCATCTCATGAACTATTTTCAACTTCAGCTACCAACTATACAGTGCTTTTATCTTTTTAAAATTTGTAAATTCAGGTTCTACTTGATCAAGTGAAGGTTTTGGACCACCCGGATTTGCAGGTTATACTATTAAGTCTCTTTATTTAAGTTTATGGATTTTGAACCTCTCTATTCATGATTTGATATGTTTGTTTTCGGGGAAATTGATGCTTTTTCATATGCAGTGAAAATGCAAAAACTTGTTTGGCTGGATATGGCACAAGGTCTATCTAATGTTGAGTCTGTTGTTAATTGATAAAGTGAATTAATAGGAGTTTATAATATGATTTTTCAAATCAGGATGGTTTTGGCCAAGTCTGGAACCATGATTTATTGGCAAATATCATTGAAGAGGAGGTTTATGGTCACGTGATTGATGTTGTACATTCTTGACTCTGTTGTTTTTTTTTTTGCCTACATGCTTGGTTGCTTTAATTCATTTAAGATGATTTTTTTCTCAAAGTTTCTGTATAAAATGTCCAACTGTCCAAGTTAGGCCAAGAGATGCATGTGTCACGCCCTTAGAACTTCGACGCCTCGGAACGTGCGGCCTTAGTCGCTTTCTTAGTGATCGTGGCTAAGTAAGCCTGAAAATATCCTAAGCAAGGATGCTTAGAACCTCGACGGAAGCTAGGCAAGAGAACTAGCACAAGAAGAAAGATAAGAAAGCTTTGAGAGAAGAATGCTCTTATGATTTCTCAAAGTGAAGGAGTGAGTACAAATGAGGAGGGGAGGCCTCTATTTATAGCTAAAGCTCCCCTCAATGAACGGCTAAGATCTAATTACATCGACGGTCGAGATTAATCTTTACCTACCAAAAACAAGTGGGCATTATCTATACATATTTAAATGCCACCTAAGTCTTTGTGGCTTCTAGAAGGTCCAAAACACCACTTGGGCTGCTCTTCATGGGCTAACCTCGGTTGTGGGCTCGTGGTCCGTGACATTCTCCCCCACTCGTTCTGGTGACGCCCTCGTCACTCGTCTGGCATGAAATTGATCTATTCGGGTTTTTGAATTGCCAGAGTCCCTCGGCATGCTCCCAACTCCCTTCGCACTCGGGTTGTCCCTTCCACAAAACGAAGTACTCATGCCTCGGGCGGTGTCCTGGTCGTCTAATAACTCTCTCCGCCTGTATATCTTGGATCTCCTTATCATAGGAGATCGCTACTCCGACTGGCGCTCGGTGTGACTTGCCTCGATCTGGATCCTCGGTATCCTGATGGTATGGTTTGAGCAGGCTAACATGGATTACGGGATACGCTCGAATGGTTGGAGGCAACTCCAATTTGTAGGCCATGGTGCCTACTCGCTTCACGACTCGAAAGGGACCCTCGTATCTTCGAACAAGCCCCTTGTGCATGTCCGCATGGCGCAAAACGTTGGCCAATTTTGCGAGGACAAGGTCGCCAACTTCAAAGTTTACGTCCCTCCGCTTTCGGTCAGCCCACTTCTTGGTCCGTTTTCCTGCCTTGTTCAAACAAGCTCGGGCTAAGTCGTGTTGCTCGTGCCACTCCTTGGCAACGTTGTGTGCTGATGGATTGGGCCCCTTATATTTGGTAACAACCGTGTTGGGTGTCAATGGTTGTTGCCCGGTCACGATCTCGAACGGACTTTGGTTTGTCGCCTCGCTCCGTTGCAAGTTGTAGGAAAATTGGGCCACATCCAACAGCTTTGGCCAGTCTCGTTGGTTGGCACTCACATAGTGCCTCAAATAGATCTCTAACAGAGCATTCACTCGCTCAGTTTGCCCATCGGTTTGTGGATGAACTGCGGTGGAAAAGTTCAAGCTCGATCCCATCAGTTTGAACAACTCCGTCCAGAACCTCCCAGTGAACCGTGTGTCCCGGTCACTAATGATGGTTTTCGGCATTCCCCAGTACTTCACCACGTGCTTAAGGAAAAGTCGAGCGGCTTCTACAGCTGGACACACCTTAGATGCAGGTATAAACGTCGCATACTTCGAAAACCTGTCAACCACAACCATGATACTTGAAAGTCCATCAGTTTTGGGCAAACCAATTATAAAATCCATGGAAATACTTTCCCATGGGCGTTCCGGAATGGGCAATGGTTGCAGCAGTCCCGCTGGTTTCTTTGCCTCAATCTTGTCTTGTTGGCATACAAGACAAGTCTTCGCATAGGCCTGCACATCTTCAGCCATATGCGGCCAATAGTATTGCTCCGAAAGTAGGGCCATAGTCCGATCAACTCCCGGGTGTCCCGCCCACTTGGAATCATGGCATTCCTTTATGAGCTCCTTGCGTAACTTCCCATATCGAGGCACAAAGAGACGATGGCCTCGGTGGTACAGCAATTCTTCTTCGAGCCAAAACTCTCGGGTTCGCCCCTCCTTGGCTCCCTCGATGATTCGTTCAGCCACAGGATCATGGGGTAATCCTTCCTTGATTCTCTCGAGGAGAGTACCTTCCACAGTCTCGATGGCATACCTCCGGCTTAAGCCATCTGCAACACAGTTCACCTTCCCGGGCTTGTACTCCAAGGAAAAGTCGAACTCGGCAAGAAACTCTTGCCAACGAGCTGCTTGGGAGAAAGCTTTTCTGGGTGAGGAAGTAACTGTTGGCAACATTGTCCGTGAACACCACGAACTTGGACCCAAGCAAGTAAGTCGCCATGTGCGTAAGCAGTACTGCTGTCATCTCCTTCTCATGAACCGAGTACCTCTTCTCGGTCTCGTTGAGCTTCCGGCTCTCGTATGCAACCGGATGTCCTTCTTGCATGAGGACTCCATGGCATCGGATGCATCAGAAGACTACAAAAGGCTTGGTGTAGTCTGGCAACACCACACGGGCTCATTCACCATGGCCTCCTTGAGCTTTTTAAAAGCATCTTGACATTTCGTGCTCCATTCCCACCCTTCTCCTTGAGTAGCTCAGTCAAAGGTGTTGCGATCTTGGAATAGCCCTTCACGAACCGTCGGTAGTAGTTGGCTAACCCCAAGAATGCTCGTAATTCAGCTACTTGGTGGGTGGCTTCCACTCATCAATCGCTCGGATCTTGTCTTTGTCCATCTGGAGCTTACCTCCTCCAACGACATGGCCTAGGAATGGAACCTCCTTCTGAGCGAACGAGCACTTTTCCTCTTTAAATAGAGCTCGTTATCTCGTAAGACTTGGAACACTCTTCTCAAATGTTCGATGTGTTCCTCTAATCTTACTGTACCACATCGTCAAGGTAAACTACAACGAAATGATCTAGAAAGGGTTGTAGTACCTTGTCATCAATGTGCAGAAGGTGGCCGGAGCATTCGTGAGGCCAAATGGCATCACAATTCGTAAGAACCGTACCTGGTCACACAAGCTGTCTTCGGTTCATCTCCTTCGGCTATGACTTGGTAATAGCCTGATCGTAAATCTAGCTTGGTGAACCACCTTGCACCACCAAGTTCGAACAAGTCCGCAATGAGGGGAATGGGATACTTGTTCTTTACCGTGAGCTTGTTTAAAGCTCGGTAATCTATGCACATCCGTAGAACCATGCTTCTTTTGAAATAGCACCGGTGCACCATAGGGGGACTTGGATGGTCGGATGTATCCGGCATCGAGGAGATCCTTCAATTGTTTACGCATCTCCTCTAACTCGGGTGGAGCCATTCGGTAAGGGGCCCGAGCGGGTGGCTTTGCATTCTCCACCAATTCAATCTTGTGATCCACCTCCCTCTTTGGAGGTAACTTCTTGGGTAACTCAGCAGGCATCACATCTTTGAATTCCGCCAATACTTGTCCCACTTCTCTTGGGACTTCCTCGGTCATTGTGGGTTCAGTTTCCACCAATGAAGCCACAAAGGTGGGTTCCTCCTTGCGCACCCCCTTTGAGAACTGGATTGCGGACAACATCTTGGCCTCGATTCCAGGCCCTCGACTCACTGGAACAATGCATTGTTGCTTTGGATCCAGGATGCACAAGCAATCGGCAAAAGGCACTGGGAAAGCATTTATTCGATCCAGAAAACTTATCCCAAGAACAAAATCAAAGTCATCGAGAGGAATTACTTTGATGGCTTCCTTTCCGGACCAACCTCCGACGGTTAGCTCGATTCCCTTTGCGACCCCCGCAATTGGAACTTCCTCGGCATTCACGGTTTTTATGGATCCCGTTGCCTTCTCCACATGAAGGCCAAGTCTCTTGGCAATTTGTTTGGACATGAACAATTCTGAGGCACCTGTGTCTACCAGTGCGCTCATCTTTTGGCCTGCGGTGATGTCTACGTACATCAATCCCTTTCTTGCGGCCTTTCTTGACCTCCATGGTGCTAAGGATGGAGCCAAGTTTGAGAGTCACTCTCCACCCCATCATTCTCCTTGATGGCAGCAACTTTCACAAGTTGAGGACAATCTCGTTTCATATGATTTCCTCCACAAGAAAAGCATGATAATTCCCCCTTTTCTCCCAAGGATTGAAAGCTTTTTGGGTCGATCATTCGCTTCCCATGATTTCCCGTTGGCTTGTGAAAGTTTCCTTTGGCCTTTTCTCCCCCACTATTACCTTTGGGTTTCGACCTGGATTGGAGAGAGTCGGTCCTTTTTACTTCAAACGGGGCAAGCCTCGGCATCTAATGCCTTGGAGAGTTCGGTCACTCCCCTCCTTTGGATCTCCATGTTGGCCCAACGTTAGTCCATCCATAAATGCAAAGTAACCTTCGGACTCGCCCAAGTCCGGGATTTGCATCTTGATCTCTGTGAAGTTTTTGACATACTCCAAGATGGATCGGTCATGCTTTAATTGTTTCAATTTTGCTCGAGCCTCGAGCACAGCATTCTTCGGAGAAATGCTCCTTGAGTTCTCCCACGAACTCCTCCCACGTCCCGATTGGTTTTGTAATCTCGGAACACCTACGACGCCACCATAATAGCAACATCGGTAAGATAATTGGAAGCAACATTTACCTTGGTGGTATCATCCCCGATACCCATGCCACGGAAGAATTGCTCCATGCCCCAGATGAAATTCTCCACATCTTGGGCAGTCCGACTCCCTTTGAACTCCTTCGGCTTAGGGATGTCGATCCTGGGTCTCGGTGCTTGCGCCTCCCCAGTCACTCCATTCAGCACGGCAGCCTTGTAGACGAGCAGCTCGCTCTTGAGCTCCTTTACCTCCTGCATTATTTCGGCCCTCATGGCCAAGTACATGCTCTCGAGGCCTCTGGTACGGTCGTCTACGTTATCCGTCAACTCGCTGAGGAGTGCTTGAGTTTCTTCACGGAGTACATCCTCTCTACGGACTCCACCTTCTCTAAGCGAGATTCATACGAGTCTTGAGTCTCTTGAACTTCATTATATCGGTCTTCTAATCTACCGACCCTTTGCTCAAACGAGGCCACGATATCCTTCGAGCTCCCTCGTTTCTTTGCCACTGCAGCGCGAGTCTCCATCACTTCGCTTGTGGGGACCTCGTCTTGGTTGTGTTGTGCCATCTCTTGTAAAACTAGCTCTGATACCACTTGTCACGCCCTTAGAACTTCGACGCCTCGGAACGTGCGGCCTTAGTCGCTTTCTTAGTGATCGTGGCTAAGTAAGCCTGAAAATATCCTAAGCAAGGATGCTTAGAACCTCGACGGAAGCTAGGCAAGAGAACTAGCACAAGAAGAAAGATAAGAAAGCTTTGAGAGAAGAATGCTCTTATGATTTCTCAAAGTGAAGGAGTGAGTACAAATGAGGAGGGGAGGCCTCTATTTATAGCTAAAGCTCCCCTCAATGAACGGCTAAGATCTAATTACATCGACGGTCGAGATTAATCTTTACCTACCAAAAACAAGTGGGCATTATCTATACATATTTAAATGCCACCTAAGTCTTTGTGGCTTCTAGAAGGTCCAAAACACCACTTGGGCTGCTCTTTCATGGGCTAACCTCGGTTGTGGGCTCGTGGTCCGTGACACATGCATTTGGTAGCTGGAGCAATATGCATCATTTGAAAGTTTTCTGTTACTTCTTGTTTGTTAAGAACTTTCATTTCCTATTTCTCTTATTGTTGCTTCTTTTCAGATTATTACATTTGATAGCTATGGTGTTTCGGGTCATTGCAACCATGGTGATATGCATTATGGGGTACGGTAAGTTCAAATCATTTTATGTTTTTCAACTCAATTGCACAGGAGTAACATTTTAGACGTTCATGGCATAAAACATTAGAAGAAAATAAATGTGTTACTGCCTTTATATAATTATTTAATGCTTGAGCTCTTAATTACAACGGCTTAAGATTATTCTTTATGTATCCGGTCCTCTAAACTATTTCTACCATTTCTAGATGGAGTGTCTGTCCTATATCTTGCTTTAGAAACTCACGGTTTGCATCATTTTTTTTTCATTATGCTGATTAAGGGGCACCTATTTGGTGTTCTATAATCATGAAGGGGGTTTTTAACGAGGCCTCCACTTCTTATCAAAAAAAAAAAAAAAAGAGAATAGGACATTGTAGTAACAATATTTTCACAAGTAACACTAATACTTAAAATTATGTAAACCTAAGAAAAGTCAGATTCACTTTCTATCTACCTCAGCAATACTAATCAGCAAAACTAAAGTCACCAACAATCTTTTGGTTCTATTGGAAAGTTCTTCACCAATAAAAAAAAAGGGGTCATCACCAATAATAATAGTTTTAGATTCCCCTCTGAATTCTTTTTTACTCTTCTTTGTTTTATATGCACAGCAAGTTCCTGCATGATTCTTCACCAGGAAATATTGAAGCCTGGGAACTTGTAAGTTGTCTTTCTACCGTTTTTAGCCTATCCTGTTAAAGATGGCATTAGCTAACAAAATTAGTTTTTCCGTTTTACTTTCTCTTTTGGTTGTTAGTTTGTTTCCACCGACTGCATGAAATCTTTTCTTCATTAATATTTACTTGACAAACTTCATTTTCAGATCTCAGTTCATTTTGTACTTTGATTATTTAATTATATAAAAGTTAAGGGTTTGATATGCCCTAATTTTTTTGGCCCCTGAATCCATTGCTGATCATAAAAGTTAAGTAGCAATAGGAAAAGAAGAGGTCAACACAATCAGTTTCTGGTTTAGGTCTTCTAAGTTGTATCCATTTTTTGTCCATAATGACCTGTCTTTGTACAAGCTTTTCCTTCCTGAAAAACAACACTGATTTGCATTCTTGTACAAAGTTACCTAACTATTTCTTTCATGGTCAAAGTTTTACTAGTATCAATTTTGCCACTACTAAGTTCTTGTCCTTTTCTCCTCTTTTGTTTTATCTGAATTTAAGTTGAAACAACTTTCCATCTTTCTTTGTTCTCTGGAATCCTATGAAATGATTTTCTTGTTGAGTTAATCTAGAAATTAGAGGTTGTTGGACAAGTTATTGCATTGACTGAGTGAGGAGAAAGACCCTTGAAGAATCAGTAGCCTTAATAAATTTTTCTCTATATGTGATTTAACACATTATGCTATTTCTGGGGCTTTCCCTTTATTTTTGAATTATAAAACTTCTGCCCTCATTTGTTTTAGGTGAGCATTAACATATTGCGCAAGTATAGTGGACTGTTTGACATCTGGATGTCAGTTTAGACGTCATGCGACATCCAACGGGTCTAAGGCATTGCTTGTGTAATGAGCATCCACAGAAGAGCTTCCTGGCAATGGCGCAACACTTCAGCCAATGGGCGTGGTATGTATGTTTACCAAAAAGTCTAAACGAATAGAATTGAGTGTGGTTGAAGAATCAGTAGCCTTAATAAATTTTTCTCTATATGTGATTTAACACATTATGCTATTTCTGGGGCTTTCCCTTTATTTTTGAATTATAAAACTTCTGCCCTCATTTGTTTTAGGTGAGCATTAACATATTGCGCAAGTATAGTGGACTGTTTGACATCTGGATGTCAAGTTTAGACGTCATGCGACATCCAACGGGTCTAAGGCATTGCTTGTGTAATGAGCATCCACAGAAGAGCTTCCTGGCAATGGCGCAACACTTCAGCCAATGGGCGTGGTATGTATGTTTACCAAAAAGTCTAAACGAATAGAATTGAGTGTGGTCAATGGTTGTGAAAAACTTAACAACATTTCTTATTTTCCTTTTGAAATTATCTAAGGATTTTGTTTATGAATATAAGTCATTGATTAATCATTTGTCATTATTAGGTCTCTTTGGATCTTCTCCTTGATTCAGCATTTTCCTTTTGAAACTCCAAAGTTGCATGTTTGGTATATATTTTTAAAACTATTTTCTTAATTTTTTGAATGTTGGTTTTGCAGGTTCAGAAAGCTTTTCATTTCATTTTCTAGTTATACTTACATTAACACTCTTAGAAAGATCGAGTGATTATAGATGCACTTGGATGGACAAAGCTTCTTGGGATTTGTGCCTGTTCATATTTGAGGTATTTCTCTGCAGTGACACGGGCTGCTACTCGATAAATGTATCACCTTAAATCCATATCAGGCAGCCTAGTTTAAGTTTTCACATTCCATGATTCGAAGCTAGCGAATTGAGAACCCACTGATCGGAAAATGCAACACATCCATTTTTATTTTCAAAATTTTAGACCCTTACACAGAAACGTTATTGGTTACATTGCGTACATCATGATCCAAAGGCATTTGGTCAGACATATCAATTTTACACCGGTCTCTCATTTAGTTGGTCCGAAGGCAATTTGAAGGTGACTCTGGCACTGGTGAGGCAAAATTTTCCTACTTTGGTACGAAAAAAGAAATCTTTAGGGTGCCATTTCTCTTTCGTCTTGAAGTTGAAAACTTTATTCTTATGCTAAGCATCATGGAAGATTTATTTTTAGTACGCAAAAGTACTTTTCACTGTGAGCATTGCTTCCTCTAATGTTTTAGCTTTATCATAAAAATGTGAATTATGTTGCTCTAGATATGGAACCTGACCTGCCACCATATGTCAAACTCGCAACATGTTTGCAGTTCTTTTAGTGGTAGGATTTGCAATATGAACACAAATTTATTTTTCACTGATCCAAATATTTATATATGCATACCGAGAAGAAGAGTAAGAATGGTGTATATATGAATGTATCTCCAAATGTGTACTGTAGGAATGAGAGTATTTTTTTGGGAAAGGGAAAACAGGTTGTAGATGCTTGTTGCAGCTTTAGATTTAAGAGGCTTTCCAAGTTCATTGTTTTTTTTTTTGAAAAATGACCCTGCCATTGTGGGACATAATGATGATGAAAGATGGGTAACAATGCGTGTGAATTCCAGATGATAGAGCTGATTGTTTTGTAGAAGAAATGGCCTAGGTGAGGCTGTTGGGTAGAGATTGCCTGAACCTTGCATCAGTTTCTTATTTTTAGTAACAGTCAAGTTTGGTATATATAGTGGAGGTTAAATATTTAAGGAGACAAAAAAAAGGGTCGAAGAAGAGTAAATTATTTGATCTAGTAGGATGAAACATTAGATCCCTTAATTAAGATTAGAAGTTTAATTTCTAAGACAAATAAATTCGGTTAGAAACATCGTGTCTATAGTAGTCCTTTATAGTACACAATCCATTTTATTATTCATTAAACACTGAAACTTATAATAAACCGAATTTCAAATTTTAAATCATAAATCGAATATTTAAATATGTTAAAATTTGGAAGACCAATTTTCAAATTCAAACATATTCTCTATTATTGAATCCGAAATTGAATTGGATATTCAATTTTATAAATAATACATATCTAAAAAGATTTATTTGAAGTCAAAACGAACAACAATTTTAGCATTTAAATATAAATATCATATAAATTTACAAGAAAAAAATCAAATATTTATAAATATACAGAGTCATAATCCAAACGGCCATTTAAGCTCTGCGTAATATATATATATATATATATTAAAAGTCTGTTTTAATTTAATATTTTATTAAGTCTTAAAATATAAACGTAATATATATTGCATATGATATAAATTAGAAAAGTATAAATTTAAAACGAATAGAGGAGGTTACTGTTTTTGAGCTGCCACGGCAATCTTGAGCTGGTTTTTTTAAAAAAAATAAATCGAGAGATTGCTTTCAATTCAACTACCAAAACGACACTTTTGTTTCCATCTCTATATTTTCTCCCAATTCACTTCCTTAGGGTTTCGTTCATTTTCTCTCCTCCTCTTTCTTTGCTCTTGCATTGCGGAGAAAAAGCTGAAAATCCAACTCTACGTTTTTTTTCTCCAGGTAACCACAAAATTCATTTATTATTTGCTTCATTTTGAGCGATTTGGTTGGCGGATGGAGATGTAATTGGTGTATACAATTCTGATCAGGTTTTACGATTGTTTGTTTATTTTGGTTCCTTGATCGAAAAGTAAAAGAGTGCATGAAAAACAAAATCCATAATTTTACTTTAACATACATCCATTGCGTAAGAATGGGTATTGTTTTGTGATTCATTTATTTACTTTTTGGATTCACCGTGTGAAATTTTTGACAGGCAACGGAAACGGAACATGTATAGCTAAATTTACAAGCCGGAATTGCCTTGGGAACTTCTTCTTAGATTTTAGTATTTGTTTCTTTTACTCAATGCTGATGTTTAAAGATTAGAATTGCTCAATGTGTTTAAACTCATATGGTACCAGGGTTGAATTCTAGGTTTTAATTTTTGGTGAATTTTGGTGTAGTAAGTTTCATGTAAAGGCATCTCCCTGTTAATTGTTATGTAATTTTTCAGAATTTAATGATAGGTAAATAAGACTAGGGTTTAATTTGATTGATCGATTTTGGTAATGCTGAAGTCCCTAGTTATTGATTTGATTCCTTTTTTTGGGTATTTTGCAGTGCATGATTTACAATTTTAGGCTTAGAAAATGGTAGGAACAGGAACTGCAGATGATGGTGGTGCACATGCGGAGCCCCCTGATCCTGACATTCTTGAGATTGATCCAACTTCTCGATACATAAGGGTAAATATTATTTGTTTGATCGTATGAGTTGAAATTTTTATTAACTTCTATTCGGTTTCTGTTTGAGCATGTGAAAATGAGAGATACTGAAGTTTTCAATAATGTTTTGTAGCTTATTTGGCTTTTCCTTTAAAAGAGGAGTTGAATATTTCTACTCGAAATCTTAGGTTATTTGCTGTTCATTCATTTTGGTTTTCTTTTGTTTACTATATTTGAATTTTTCAGTCTATTTTAATCATTCAATTATGCTGCATTCTTTCCACAACCAAACTAAATGTTATGCTGTTGACCACTATTGTTTCACCTTGTTGACTGGTATATTTTCTAAACAGTATAATGAAGTGCTTGGGAAAGGTGCCTTCAAGACAGTGTATCCTTTACCTGAATCTGTGAGATTGGGGCTATTATTACTTTGTTTTTGCAAACATCCCTGTTATGTACTGTTTAACAAATTTGGTTTTAAAGCAATGATATAAGCAGAAACAAGAAAATCATTTTACGATTGGATTTATCTTTTCTTTGTATGCTTTTCCTTAATTTATTAACCAACCAGTTACAAAGCATTTGATGAAGCTAATGGCATTGAAGTTGCATGGAGCCAAGTCCGGATTGATGAGGTCATACAGAAGCCAGAAGACTTGGAGAGACTGTATTCTGAAGTGCATCTCTTGAAATCCTTGAAACATAGTAATATCGTGCGGTTTTTCAATTCTTGGATTGATGATAAAAAGAAGACTGTCAATATAATAACTGAGTTGTTCACCTCAGGCAGCCTCAGGCAGTAAGTTTACTGCTATCATATTCATATCCCTTCTGAAGTCCCACCCTTTGTTTTATGATTAAATTATCCTTTTGGTGAATATGTGTGATGTGATTTAGGTACCGTAAGAAGCACAAGAAGGTTGATATGAAAGCAGTGAAGAGTTGGGCAAGACAGATTTTAGCTGGTTTAGTATATCTTCATAGCCATGACCCACCAATTATACATAGGGATTTGAAGTGTGATAATGTATTCATCAACAGCAACCAAGGTGAAGTTAAAATTGGTGATCTTGGGTTGGCCACAGTTTTGAAGCAATCTAATGCTAAAACTGTGATAGGTATACTTTCAGTTTGCCTCAGTATATATCTGTATGTTCATTGGTATGCTCTTTTTCTTGATTTTGCATTTATGTTGATCTATCCTGTTTTTGGCTTCCATACACAAAAGAATCCCTGAATCTTTTTATGGGGATAGGAACCCCCGAGTTTATGGCACCTGAGCTGTATGATGAGAATTACAATGAGTTGGTTGATATTTATTCCTTTGGAATGTGCATGCTGGAGATGGCGACTTTTGAATACCCTTACAGTGAGTGTAGAAACTCAGCTCAAATATATAAAAAAGTTTCATCTGTAAGGTCTTTGTTTACTTTCGCTTGAGAATACTGGTTAACCCTATCCTTCTTTATACCTTTACTTCTTCAATCTTTGTAGGGAATAAAGCCTGCTGCCCTTTCTAAGGTTAATGATCAAGAGATGAAACTATTTATTGAGAAGTGTTTGGTTCCAGTGCCTCAAAGATTATCCGCGAAGGAGCTTTTAATGGACCGCTTTCTTAAAGCAAATGCATCAGCAAAGAATCATCGTTTACCACTCCCAGATATTGTTATGCCCAAAATGGGAGGCTTTGGAGAACGCTGCCTCATGTCAGAAGCACCTGCTTCCACAAAGAATAGACCTTCCACAAAGGATCTTAATAGTGATAGCGAGACGCCTGTTATCAAATTTCTTGATAATTCCTCGGGCATTGAAGTTCGAAGGACAAACAAAGGCAACATTTTCATGTTAAAAGGAGAGACAAATGATGAAAACTCTGTATCGTTAATACTTCGAATAGCTGATAAGAATGGTAAAAAATATCTTAAATGGGAATCATCTCAACTCTGACTTTCTTTGTACTTTTACATTAATTACTTTTTACTTTGTTTCATATATGCAGGTCGTGTGAGAAATATTCATTTTATCTTCTTCATTGATAGTGATACTGCCCTCTCAGTTTCAAGTGAAATGGTTGAGCAACTGGAACTAGCGGATCAAAATGTTGTGTTCATAGCAGAATTGATTGATTTGTTGTTGCTGAATCTCATTCCCAGTTGGAAACCTTGTGTTCCCGTTGAGCATTTGGTTCCTCCAACTAGGAGACGACCTTCAACAGATAAACAACGCTCTCTGCAAGAACATGATACTATCACTTCAGGAGAATCTGATGAATCAACAAAGCAAGGTCCTTGTTCTGTGAAATATAATGGAAAAGCATCTCATGCCAATTTGATGACAGAAAATTCTGGCTCTGAGAAGTCATTAGGTTCTGCAAACTATAATGATTTGAATGATAAGCCTAGCTCCATTCAATCGCTAATGTCGGCTGAATCAGGGCCTACGGGCAGTGATGGAGCAGAATTATTGGTCGACGCTCAGAGTAAGTTGATGAATCCAGTGTCTTCATCTCCATGTGATGATTCTGAAGATGAGGAGTTAAGAATGGAGCTGGAAATGATTGAGCTGCAGTACCAGGAGGCAGTGAAAGAAATATCTAAGATAAGACATGGCGATATCATGGACACACGAAGAAGATTGTCGCAGAAGAATATGCAGTTGGATGACAACTAGTTCATCTCCATCCCCGTCCTAAGAGGATAAACGGTAAATGGCCCTGCAAATGTACATAGTCTTCATTCTTTTTATTTTTTTTCCGTCTCGGTGAGTGGTTAAGTAGGAAGAGAGAGGCAATTGTTAAATACAAGATTTTGGTATTCGGAAATTGGGAGGTTGAAGTTTGGTGTTCATTTTGGTTTTATAGATACCCTGAATTTATTAATAATTAGGGCATTACCAAGTTTTGTATGGCTCCAATATTTTTCCTTTTGATTTGAGTAGCCAAAACTTGTACACATTCAAAAGTTTATATAGTTAGGAGGAAAGACGGTCTAAGTCTAACTGTTCCGATAATGAAATCATATTCGTCTTAGAATTCTCAAGGATGATTTGGGAGTGTGTTGAGAATGTTTCAAGGGGAGTCAACTTCCTGTATTTGGTTTTCTTAGAGGGAAAAACTCTAGGAAAATATTATAGGATAAACGGTAATGTCCCAAATTTTGGATAGAGACCAAAATGTAAATTTTGAAAGTTAAGTGATAAAAGTATAAACTTTGGAAAAGTTTAGGGATTAAAATGGTAATTTTAAAAAATTGTAATCCATATTTTGTATTAAAAGTTATAAAGCGATAAAGTTTGAGAAAAAAATTCGGTAAATCGGATCGAATAGAAATTTCAGGAAAAATTAAAAGATGATCAATTAGACCTAAAAATATTATTTTCACATTTTAAAATGTTGAAAAATAGTATAAACTATTAGATTTGAGGATTTAATTTCATGTTAAATCTGGACTATTGGATTAAAGTGGCAATATTATAATTTTTGGGAAATTTCAAGGGCAAATCGGTAAATTGTGAATTTGTTTTTTGAGTTTTTGAAGATGATAAGGTTGAGGTGTCTGGATGGTAAATATGAAGTTTCATTAAGAGTAAATTGATATTTTCTCAATTAAATAAATTTAATATTCATTAAAGTTTAAATTAAATGTAAATTAGATTGAAATTAATCAAAAATTTCATATCATCTTATTCTTCTTTCTTCTCTATTGCCGTGAACCCCTCCAAATGTAACAAAAAATTTTGATTTTTCATTTTTGAGCAATTTCCTTTGGATTTCAGGTTATGTCGTAAAATAGAAAATTATTCTACGCGAGAAACGCTATCTTTTGGTACCATTTATGCTTGCTAATATGTCATGCACAGAGGAGAAAAGATAAGACTTGGAGCAAGAGAATTGGGGAAATCAAAGAAAGGGTTAGGGATTTGGAATTAGGAATGGACCTGATACGTCCTACAACCCACTAAGGATAGGAAACAACTTGCTTATTTGTGTAGGTTGTTATATATACTCAATACAACAAGGATTGCCAGCTGTAGGGTAACTATGAGTACACTGTAATTATATAAAACCATGTACTAGAGGAGAAGAAAGCCATACTTTGATTGAATGAATTATAAGTTTCTTTGAATCTCTTCTTTTCTTTCCTTGATATTTATTCTCTTATTTCTTCATCTAATTTTCTTCTTTAATCACTAGGGTCATAACAAATTGGTATTTAGAGTCACTCTTCCTGACAACTTATTTATTGGTATGCCAAAGCAAAATCAAACCATGGTCGAAACTCATTCTCTTTCTTCAATACAGAAGCATAACGACGACTTAGTTAAGATGTTGAAGCAAACTACAAAGGGAAATAACCCTCCTAAATGGTGGGCAGAACAGGATAATAAGATCAGTAAACTGGAAGCAAGGATGCCAATGACTCAACGCTACGTGGAGAAGATATTGGGGATCTTGATAGGGAGGACGGAGGAGCAAGTTCAAAATAGCCCTGAAATTGAGCAGATGTTACATGTGGCAATAGAAGATACAAATGATGGGTATCAAATGTTTGATAAAATGCCAACAAGAGTATTTGATACAATTCCATCCATCACTAGAACCAAGAAAGTTGATTCACGACTATAACAAAATGATAATCTAATTGGGCTTAGCAAATTGATTTCATGGGAAAATCTAGTGGACAGCGAGGAACAAGAGCAAACTATTTCAGAGAATGCTCAAGTAAGTACTCTTAACCTTCTTAAGACTGATGGAATGAAGATTCCGAAAAAATTGGGAAAGAACACTACCACTTATTATGATACAGGGTGGAGGGTTAAGGACAAACTTATTTCCATGGACGATAAATGAGTAAATCATGATGCAAAGATTGAAAAGTATGATGTTCCATATGTACCTTGCACTCATGAAGGTCTTTTGACGTGGAAACAAGCTTCGATGAATTCGGTTGACTTTCTATTTGAGAAGAATCTGAATGCAGTTGTGGTAGATTGCTACATTAGAATTCATGTAGACTTCACTAATCTTCAAAGAAGGGTTGTCTTAGATGCTGCTACAATTGCGGGCTTGCACCCCCTTCACTTGATTCATGAAACTACAACATTGGCTTATGGTATTTATAAAATTGATTTACCTGAAAATGACCCATTAAATGTTGCCCTTGTTGATATTGGACATGCTAGCTTGCAAATCTATATTTCTGCCTTAAAAAAGTATTTTGCTACAAAATTTAAAGAGGAATAAAAGATTGATGTCTTCCAGAATGCTAGGGCTTGTATTAGGCTCCGGGCAGCTTGTGAAAAGCTAAAGAAGGTACTTAGTGCCAATCCTGAGGCACCTTTGAATATTGAATGCTTGATGGATGAGAAGGATGTTAGGGGTTTCATTAAGAGAAAGGAGTTTGAGCATATTAGTGCTCCAAATTTGCAACGTGTGAAAAGGCCACTAGAGAAAGCACTTGTTGATGTTGGATTTGCTGTTGAAAATGTTCATAGGGTCGAGGTAGTTGGCTCAAACTATGCTTTAGCAACTGACAATGGAGTAGTTTATTCATGTGGTTCTAGTTTTGACCCTTGCCTTGGTCACGGGGAACAACAAATTAAACTCTACCCACGGGCAATTCAAACATCTAAGAGAAGGAATTACACTCAATCCGTCAAAATGTAGTAAATTGAGCATGGATGAAATGAGGGAGCTCGTATATGAGTTATCAAAGAGGACAAGTAGAGCCTCAGAAATGCTACAATCGTCGATCCGTCAGAAGATTTTACAGGTCCTATGTGTCGAGATGAGGAAGGAAAGGAAATATACTGGTTTGACTAATCTGAAAATTATTGAAAACCTTTTGAAGATTGTAGCTGAAAAGAATTCAGGGGTTCAAGAAGGCGTGACAAATCTCGAATGGCAATTGTACCCAACAGGTGGTCAGAAAACAGCCAAAAGGCAGAGGAAAGCTGATTATCCTTCCCGACTGCCCATTCCTGTGAATGATCTCGACATTGTTAATGGTGTCAATGACATGATCAATGTTGTTTATTTCAAAAACATGGATGGAAAAGCTACAATGAGACAAGAAGATCCATTTTCCAAAAGGTGTTCCTGTTGCATCTGTTACAAGTTCGATGACAAAAAAGATCCTAGTCTATGGTTAATTTGCAGCTCGAAACCTCTTTTGCCAGGAAATTCTTATGGCATGTCATGTCATCTTGAGTGTGCATTAAAACAAGAGAAGTCTTGCATTGAAAAAGATAAACAATGTGTTGTTCCTGATGGGATCTATTATTATATAGCGTATGGGAAAGTAAATGAATTAATTGGGTGCTGGAGAAAACAAATGATGGATACAAAAGATAAGAGAAGGGTGGACATTCTCTGTTATCGTGTCTCTTTAGAACACAAAATTTTAAATAGCACTGAAAAATATCGTAAGCTTTTAGAGATTGTTGATGACGCCATTAAGAAGCCTGAACCTGAGGTCGGGCCGTTAACTGGTGTGCCCGTGAAAAGAGGTAGGGGTATCGTCAACAAGCTTTCTTCAAGACCCGAATTTCAGAAACTCTATTCTTCTGCAGTGGAATTTTTGGACAAAATGCTTTTCGACACTATCTCACATTTTTCACCAAATAATTTAATACCAGGCAGTTCATGTTCGATTTCTCCAGTAATTGTACGCTTTAAAGAAGTAAGTCCAACTTCCGTTACTGTGATTATGGATTCTGAAGAACCTTTACGGAGCAGTATTATCGCTTACAAATTATGGCATCGGAAGACGTGCGACCGGGATACTCTGTTGAATCAACTTGTACCATGTTTGTTTCGAACACACGGTTTGTCGTCACGGGACTGACTCCAGCTACGAAATATCTTATCAAAATTGTGTCATTTAATTACCATTGTTCTTGGTGGAAAAGACATGGAGTTGTCCTTGATGGTGAAACTGCTGCAGTCTAGTTTAAGCAAGGACCTTTTTTAGAGTTAATTGAGGGGGATCCCAATAGCTTATATGTAACCATTTGGAGTGGCTTTTCCGACGATATAACTCTTGATTTTCTTATTCTCACTATGATGGATACATTTAATTCGGATGAAGGTGATAATGATGATTTCATGAGCTATGAGAAAAGTACCAGTCCCATTTTAAAGGTGTACAAATCAAGACCTTGAGTAGATTTATATGCATCTATATCACTTGCCTTGCTTATTAATGCAGCTCAGTTGGTCAGAGTTACAAAGTAACCTATAGATCATTTCTTGACAATCACTGTTATACATATTGACATTGTTCCAGGTCTGGGTGATGGTACTACTATCTATAGTTTTTGGTGGAAGGTGTTTGACAACTTGAGTTTTCTGGATGAAGGTGTAATTAACCTCAAGAAGCACAATCAGGCTATCACTCAATTGTTGCTACAGTGGACAAACTTAAGGCCAGAAAACATCACTGGGGAAAACTATATTGTGCTTAAAGAACAAATCACAGGTTTTGATCCTTGGGGACAAAGATCTTTTCATGGAGGGGTTATTGTCATGTACAGAGGAGAAGAGATAAGACTTGAAGCAAGAGAATTAGGGAAATTAGAGAAAGGGTTAGGGATTTGGAATTAGGAATGGACTTGAGACGTTCTACAACCCACTAAGGATATGAAACAACTTGCTTATTTGTGCAGGTAGTTATACTCAGTACAACAAGGACTGCCAGCTGTAGGGTAACTATGGATGCACTGTAATTATATAAAACCATGTACTAGAGGAAGAGAAAGCCATGCTTTGATTGAATGAATTCTAAGTTTATTTGTATCTCTTATTTTCTCTCCTTGATCTTTATTCTCTTATTTCTTCGTCTAATTTTCTTCTCTAATCACTAGGGTCATAACATAATGTTGCTTGATTTC